TGTCGCTACAACGAAGCAGGAATCTTTAATAAATTTTTATCGGTTTATTTTTTCCGACAGTTGTTTTTAAAAAGTTGGAAAAATAACAAAAATAAAGCGAAAAAATGAATTCAAACGTTATAACTCAAAAGACGGAAAAGTTTCCAATGTCTGCGAAAGATCTTCGAGGGTCCAAAATGTGCAGGAATAATCTGATTCTTTGTCTCAAATAAACTTTCAGAATGTGATGGTGTCTGTGATGAAATTTTACCCTTAAATATTTGCCATTCATTGAGAAGAGCTGAAGAGTGAAAAAATGAGGTATGATGTATTATGGAGAGCTTAAGGCTCCTCTCCCTGTCAAAAAATGGCAATTTGTTTAGATAGTCCTAACTGTCTACTTTCGAATGCACTATGGTTTGTTGGTTTTACGATGGTTTTTGAGGGTTTTACAAAGATCTTTCTGAAATACTCAAAATCCGAAAAAATGACCGTTTTGCAAATTTCAGCCATTAGAAAAGTATCCCGCACGTATTTCTGCATGTGTTCATTCGATTCGCCATAGACGAACTATTCTCCGTTTCTTCCTATACCACATGTTGAAGAAAATAAAATTTTCTGAAAAATAAGCCGTAATTTTTCCAACTTTTTAAAAACAACTGTCGGAAAAAATAAACCGATAAAAATTTATTAAAGATTCCTGCTTCGTTGTAGCGACAAGTCTTGGCTACATTTTAAGACCTACCCGAGCTTTCTAGCATGTAAAATAGCGAAGAAATCTGGGTCGCGCGGACACCTAATTTTTTACCCTTAATTTCAAGGTAACTCTGGGAAAACTCCATACTTCGAGCTCAAATTTTGTGTGTGATATATCAAACACAAGGAACATATTCTATGAAAATTTTATCAAGATCGGATACTATGGGACAAAAATAGATTTTTGACAGGGGGAGCCTTAAGTATTTACTGAGCTTCTATATTTCCAGATTACTTCGGGCTGAGATGTGTTTTCAACATTACTCGTGACAATCGCGGTGTATTCATACCTCTGAACGCAATTCAAGCTATATAGCGATTCGAGTACCATCCGCATTAAACGTTAACTGTTTACCTTTCTTGAGTGCAAGTTTTATAGACACAATATATAGACACAATATTATCAAAAGCAACGATGATTTTTAGTCAAAAGTTGCAAAAACTCGTTCTATTTTCACTCTCTCTTCTCCATTTTCCGATCCAATGATATCAGAGTGTCTGCATCTCGCTTCACTCTATCTAAATCCATGTTTGTAAGCTTCCAATTTGTTTTAACAGATGCCGAAATAGAGAAACTTTTCAACTCTTATTTTTTTCTTTAGGGATAGATTCCTTCCCATACTACTTCAGACTTGCCCACGATGGATGGACTCCTTCATACGATATATTAACCGTGATAAAAGTAAAAAGTCTACTTTTGATACTGATCCTTTTCTTTCCTCCTTCTGGTGAGACTTCTTTCATCTCATCTTCATTTTATTATTCACTGATATACTTTCTTCTGATCGTTCTAAATTCTTATCGAAATTTGTATTTACTGTATCTATTCAGGTTAAGGGGGAAACAGCAGATTTTGTGACTTTTATAATCTGGGCTCCACTCCACAGGCAATCAATTTTTTTCAAATTTTGTTATACTCCTTGGAACCCCTTGTTATTCTTCGTGACTTTGCTGAGCCCGAAGAATTTTCCTGATCGTTTTTGAATTTTCCCGCGTTTTTTCCGCTTAGCCCTATTTTTACAGATTTTCGGGATTTCATCGGATTCTAATCCCTTTTTTCGATTTTTTCTTGTACTCCCAGGGATTCCTCCAGTTTCTCGAACTTTCGGAAGTTTGTATAGGATTCTCCAGGCTTCTGTAGGTCTGGGAGTCCACTGCTGCTTGGAATTCTACTGTTTCTCCCTTGGAAAAGTTGTTGTTGCTGACATCACATGCTATCGTCATGCCTCTTTTCTCTCGGTTATTTCAAAAATGTTTGATGAATTTACTTTTCAATTTACTTCTTGCTCATCTCTAAGTATTCCTTTTTTGTTTTATATAATTCAGCTTTCGTCAAGATCATTATACTATTGACGTTGTTATTTCTATCTTTAACTGTTTCTAATTTTTGAACAGCTGGTGTTAAATGTGTCGGTACTGCGCTTGGATTAGTTTTGTTTATATGGTGACTTTAAATATGGCTTCCCTTTTTCTCTTCAACCTACCTACGAAATTATCCTTTTGCTGACAATGTCTTTTTAATCGTACCTCTTTCTTCTTTTCATTTTTCTAATGTACAAATCTGTACAAACGCTGTTTCAAACTGATCTTTTGATCCCACGTCTAGGCCTGTGCGCCGCGCCGCTGGATAACTAAGATTTTTGGCCCCACCGCCGCCGAACATTTCTGGAGTTCCTGGCCGCCGCTGATGGGTAATTTTTTTTGGATTTTCAGCGCTGCTGCGAAGTCTTTTTGGAGGTTCTCGTCGTACAAACTTGTTTTAGTCTCATTACTTTGATTGAAAATAAAATAAACAATTTGATGAAATTGACATTAGATCTTGGCTTAAATTAAGCTTCGTATTCAAATTTGGTTGCGGCCCTCCGCTGACGATCCAAAGTTTTAAATAATCTTTTAGCCTTCGCCGATTGAACAATTTTTTTTACTTGCCGTCGTCGAAGGTGGAAAAGCTTTTAACGAGGCTCTGCCACCGCCGCTGGTCGGAAAACTTTTGTTATACGCAGCCGTCGAGTTAAAAAGTTAAAAAGATCGTACAATAGAAAAAAACTTTTACTCCATTACTGTCAGCTTATCGATGAGGCGGATTTATTAATTAGAAAGAAATTATGAGGAGCATAATATGAATCGTTTATATTCAATCAATCAGTAATAGTTCGAGAAATGAGCAATGGTGTGATGGATGACTCCACTTTCTATAATGCCATATGTACGTTCATCTGTGACAATATCGTTGAGATTAATTGAGTTTTGTTTACGTAAATCAAAAATCTAGGCTTCTATAAACAAGGGACTGAAAGCGAACAGCCAAAATGTAACTGATCGGTCAATTCGTGTAATACGAACAATCTTTTCAAAATTACGAAAAGCGTTAGTAGGCGGAATAAACTTTCGTTCAGGTAAGCTAGATACTTGTTTGATCATTTAAAAAAACAAAATTTAAAAGATATGGAAGTAGATGTAGCCCCGGTAGGTCTGTATCCAGAAGATGGGCAGAACTGGCACAGACCCACCCCTTGAGATATTTATTACGGTGTACATCTAATAAACTAAATCTTTTGTATTTGTCTGCAAATATTGCTGTAAAATCCTGCTTCAAAGGATGATTTTATTCTAGATGTCGACTCCTTACCAAAATCCTTGGTACATAACTGAGCCCCGGTGTTGTTTACACAAGTCTACTATCGATTAATTCTAAGAATTCATTTTAGTAATAATTTTGTTATCATGATCTCATTAGTCCATTTGTTTCGATTAAAAGATTAATCTACTGCGAAATATAGTTGTGACTTGAGGCTGGTCTTGATCTACTAGACAAACATACCAGCCTATCACCCAACCATGGGAAAAATGCTTCGTTTGAGTTACAGATTCAGCATATGCAGGAATTTTTCGAACCAGAAGTTCACGTGCTTTTACAGAAATGTTATGTTATTATAACTAAGTTATGGTAAAAATCCCAGCTTATTGGGACGAGCCGTTTTAGTGCTATACGTAGTTTAGTATTTGTACGAACTAAAACAGCTCGCCCCGATGAGCTGCCATTTTTAGCATAACTTAGTTATGATAAAATACAATTTATGTCAAAAGTACGTGATTCATCCTATTTCCACGCGATTCATCCTATCTTCCATTTTGTTTTATGGTCGGCCGATAGACTGTACATAGTTGAGACATCTTGAAAACAAATCTAGAAGCAAATCGCTACAATAAAACATCAGAAATCATAGAATTGTCATATAGAATTGCATTGTGTGGCATTATTCCCAACCAAAACTTTTCCTGCTATGCTAACAGGAATTCGTTTCCAGCATTTACCAGTACCAATAGTGGAATTCATTTAAACTCCAGAAATCAATTTTTTCTGTACGTTTGCATTACTGTGTTATAGACACTTTTTGCACTGAATCGTGCAGTTTTTCGTTTTATTGTCTTTTAAGAAGCAAACATCAATTTAACTGTTTTCTGTTTATTAAGTTTTACTGTCTTCTTTCCAGTTTATTTCGCTTTAATGAACCGAACAGATTTTAAACCAAGTGGAAAACGTCATTTTTAAGTTCGATGTACCATGTTCCATATTATGGCCGCCGTTCTGTACACTCGAATAATCAAAAAGTGAAAATATATCTCAAAAAAGGAACGAACGAAAGAAAAAAATTAATGTATTATTTTGCTCAAATTCAAAATGACAATGTTTTGTTAACAAAAACTAACAATAGCCACAACAAAAATGAGAAGGTGGAGACAATACACATTAACAAACAACGAAAAAGTTATTCAAACGTAATTAATAATTAGACTAGTTCTACAACAGTTTGTTATTGTATGGCCGATTGGCCTCCAACATCAACAACAACCCATAATCCTACTAACCGTTTAACGCATAAAACACCGTCAACACCGACTGTAACTACAAATAATCAAAATACGACATCAAATCAAAATAAATTACAAACAATATCATCTCCACCAAATTTTTATTCTCAAAATTCGCCAACAACGACTAATACCTCTCTAATTCATGAAACATTTCGTAGTACGTTGCGACTTGTCACGGGTACGGACAGTACAGAACAACAAGAGGTAACCAAACCGTCGTATATGTGTTATCCTTCCATGATTCCAGATGATCCATTGACTAACACAGACGGTCTTACCAATGATGGTAATATGAATGATCATTTACGTACAGTCGCAGGATTTGGAGCCAGTTTTATAGACTCTGGACTTCATAGTAATCAAGATAATTATCAAGAAGGCCATGGACATTTTTTTGTTAAAAAAACATTTCATAAACCGACTTATTGTCATCATTGTGTAGAAATGTTATGGGGTCTTATTGGACAAGGTTATTATTGTGAAGGTATGTATTAGAAATTGATGCACATTTTTTATTGTGTAATCAAATAACAAAGAAATTGATGATAAATATTTGATATTATGCACTTAAATAAGAGTACTTATAAATAACTGCTAACTATTATATGTGTTTTTTCTTCTTTGCTCTATTTTTAGTTTGCAACTTTATTTGTCATGACAGATGTAGAAAACTTGTTATATCACCATGTTCTAGTATTGCACCAATTCTAATCAAAGTAAGCGATAGATTTTCTGTATTGTGACAATAGATCAATGTGTTTCCTTATTGTTGTGTGTTTGGTACAGAATATTAGACTTCATCCATAACATGTCCTTGTCTAATCTTATATTTTACTTACATTTAAAACTTTCAAAATTTCATATTTATTCATTTCATTAGCTTTCATTTTTTTGACTAATGTTAAAATACTGGTATTTAGTTTTTTGAGTTTCATCAAATCGAAAACTGAGTCATATGTCGTCTCTCCCAGTTTCTCATAATTATTTATTATCAACTATAACATATTTAAATATAATTCAATTTTGACAGTTTTTGAATTAATGCACAACCTGTTGTTGTCTTAATTTTACTTGATTCGACAATATTATCAGAAATATTATCACTATAACGTCCATTGATCATTTGATGTCACTTAATTACAAGTCGATTGGGCTATTGATATTACACTTAATGAAAATTTGTCGACAACGTTCAACGTTTATTTAATACCATAATAAAAATTTTTCAGCATTAGTTCCCACGTTGGTACATGCAACTACAACCGCAGCGACAAAGTTGTCCATATATATTTTGCTTCTTTCGATTTGTGGAAAGAAGTTCATCGGTGAAATGATTTGAACTTGATTTTGCTTTGAAATTCTATGATCATAAAAGCCAATCAAATATAATTAAATTAGAGAAGCTATTTTGTACTCTTTATCAGTTATAAACAAATGGTGGATAAAATCGACAAATTCTAGAGTAAACAAAATCAGGTGAACATGTATTGACGAAGTTTTTCGGATGCTACAAACGTTTTGAACAGAATCTGACTCATTAACATCAATCACAGAACCAAGATCAACCGATACATCGAAAAAATCAATGTTAGGTTGTTGATTTGATGAAGCCGAGAACCATTTTCGGAATCTGTTTAATTTATGAAGTTCGTTGTCCAGTGGTGAAAGAAACTTTTACAACAAATCGGACGAAGCAAAGTATGTATGAACAATTTTCCATAGCTATCGTAACTGCACATGTCACATTAGAATAAATGATAGCATGTTTCGACTATTACAAACGCGTATAACTAAAATTGACTCGCTCACAAGCCTTATCAATGAATCAAAATGAAACTAGTTTAAACAAAAGAAGATAACTCTGTCAAATTTTTAAATGATCAATGTGCAAATAATCGTTGAACATAATCAACTATATAATCAATATTATATCTCACCGTCTGTGGCGAACGAAGATCTTGTGCTTATTAATCTCTGAAGAACGAAAGCATCGCTACCACAATTTCATAATAAATACTATAAATTCTATCGTACACCATTATTCAGATACAATGCTAAACTAATAAATGGTTATTGTGAATCAGTTAGCCACTATGTTATAACCATTAGATAAATTAGTTAAAATATTCTACTTTGAAACAAGAGATTCGCCAAGTTTTGTTTGCGCGTTACTTATTTTCATTTCTATTGTCTGTTTACATAGATACTTTATTAAAAGTTTAAGATACCATCGGATGAAGAAATAATGAAAATTTATTTTCGATATTTTGAAAATGATAGTGATATGATTAAGGAAGAAGTATTTTTATTACAGTTTACCAATGAATATTGAAGATAAAATTGCTTTTAATAAAGTATCTATGAGGAACCAGACAATAGAAGTAAAAATAAGTAAAGAGACAACATGTGGCAATATCCTTGATCCCCGTAGTAGTACACTGAAGCTAACTACTAATATTACCATGCAGATCTCTTCAAAAGTTATATATTGTTAAATAATATTCGTAGTGTAAATTACTACATCCATAATTTCTTATATAGAAGTAAATAGAAGAGCCATGAGTAAACCTATTAGGACACTCAACTCATCTAACCTAACATAATCGTCTCTGATGCGAATTCTAAAACATTTGACGATACTCTTCCTTGATCGAGCGTTTCATTGTCAGACGAACATTTTACACGGTAAACATGAACAATCCGGTATGTGTACAACTATTATTTATACATTATTATCCATAAAATATCACATTTTTTACGAAGACTACGTGTAAACATAATAATATGTTTACTAAGTTTTATGGATAAACTGCTATAAAATACATTCATACATAATTATAAGTAATTTTATAATATTATCCACCTGCATTATCGTTATTCTGTCTGTAGTCATATTTACATCATTCGATCCATCGCGAATCTCCCAAGAGAACTTCGATTACTATTAATAATAAAAAAAGACAATAAACAAATAAAAAATAATTTGCTTGTATCTATCAACGTCTCAGAAACTGAATGAATACTATCCTAACGCTCTGACAGTCGATCAAAATTAAAATATAACATGACATTATTACTCACAAAGAGAAAAAAAAAAGTCTGAACACCTCATGAACAGTATCAAAATTTATGTTAGAAATATTGAACAGTATACGTAAACAATAAATAACAAAGAATATTTGTTTTCTTTTATTCGAGCAAAGATTTTACATTGAACAAGACATTGTTTTCGCATAAAAATACAATACTTTGAACTTTATATACAGAATTTTATTTGTCTATTTGATTATTTTCTTTTTTTAGAATCCTGTCTGTCACATATGGTCTGATAGCACTCGTTTCAAACGTAAATTTTGTAATGTATGTCGAAAACGTTTAGAAGATTTTTCAGCTGTACGATGTGAAAGTAAGTGCAATTTTGTTTACGATTTATTTTACTTTAGTTTTTATTCTAACAGAGATACATGAAGTTTATTTTTATTTTTACCTAGTCTCATAGTATTAAGTAAGTAGATGAGTATGTCTTTTGTCAGAGTGATAACGCTGCATTTAATTTTTTGCTCTTTTACAAATATAAGTTTAGAATGCACACAATACATACTACACTACTAAAATAAAGAAGGACATTTCTCAAATTCTAACTGTTTTCTCTTTGCGTTTACATCATAGATAGAATCGTTTTTACTAATCAATGTTATTCATTACTTTTTGAAATGAACCATTCTCTACTAGCGAAGATTAACATCGATTTTTATTTCCCTGTCTGCTATCCTTTGAAATGTTTTATGCTTAGAACAACATAGTTCTTGTTCTTCAGCTGTTTGCTTCTTTTTTTTAAACAGGAGAAATTATGATTAACTAGGAATTAACACACTGTTCATTTTTTTGTTTTTTGTGTTTATTAAAAAATATTTAAATTTGTTTGTTATTTCGTTTTAGTATGTGAATACTACGCTCACGAAGATTGTAAAGATTTTGCTGTTAATGATTGTCGAGAAACAGCCACTTATGTTCCAAATAGGGACAATGTATGTATAAATTATGATTGAAAGTGTTGATTCCATTTGTTCAAAAAGGAAAATGTCCAATAAAATAATTCAATTGTGAACTAGGAACTTATTTGTGTGTTTTACTCTAGACATCTGTTCGTCATCATCATCATTGGCGTGAAGGTAATTTGCCAACAAATTCCAAATGTGCAGTGTGTAGAAAAACATGTTGGTCGAGTGAATGTCTCGCGGGTATGAGATGTGAATGGTGTGGAATAACAGTAAGTATTAATCAAACATTTTTCTCGATCTATTCATTATTTAATCTTATTAATCTTTCTTACAGACTCATAGTACATGTCGGATGAAAGTTCCCGAAGAATGTAATTTTGGTACATTACGAGATATTATCATACCTCCGTATGCAATTAGTATACCACGGAGTGATCTAAACAAAGAATCCATTTTGGGCATTGGACTAGTTCGACGATTTAATGAAGTACCAGCCATATCTTTTGTCCCTGCAAGTAAGTCATTTTGCCATTTACCCTATTTATATCTATATATCCTTTTGCCACTTATCTATGTGTTATCTTCTTCATGTTTTACACTCTTTAGAAAATATCACTTTTTGTTTTCACTTACTTACACACACACATACACACACACATAAAACTACTCTCATCTAAACGATATCACTTATCACTTACTGTAGGACAATATCGCACGATATAAAATGCACGTATTCAAGCATGTTCTGTTTATTCAAACTTCACAGACCTAGCTCTTGCAATAATAAATATATTTAAAATTACAGACTATTGAGAAGTAAAGCAAAGTTTAATTCAATTTTTCATTTTATTGTTTTCTACCTAAATTATAGAAATTTGCAAAAAAACAACAGTTAATCATTCTAATTACTGTCTAACATACTGAGATATTTTTATACGTTTTACAAATTGATTAATGAATACATTCATTTTTACATGTTGTTTTGTCTTAATTCTTATTTCAGTATCTCCATGTTCTCCATCAACAATATCAGTGGGCGCAACCAGTAGTAGTAATTTTTTTTTCTCAACGAGTAATACTGTTGGTCAGCATACAGCATTAACTGCTGTACGTAGTTATAATGATATGCCACCTCAATCTCCAAGTAAAACAGAAAAAACAAAAAAAAAAACTTTATATCGTCGCTTACAGCGGCAATCATCATTTGCATTACCACGGAAAAAAACACAACGGGAACATCGATCAATCTACAGGGGTAAAAATAAAAACTAGTTGCTAGTCTATTTGCTGCTCCATTAAAAACACACACACACACACATACGTACTTAGTACCTGCCTACCCGTCGTTCTCATCCAAACGATGAAGCATGTTGTGTATGGAAAATGTTATCGTTGTACTGTTGTTCTGTATTGTATTGTTTTCATTACTCCTGCTATTCCCCATCAGTAATCGAACGGAAAAGTCAATTGTAAGAAACTTTTATAATCCACTTACAAATCATGAGAAAATATGAATTGCATGATATTAATAATACTGCTAAAGTGGTCAAATCAATTGGATATGTAAAGAAGTAAAGTGGCTTTTCCCCTTTTCTCTCTCATTTCTATCAGTGTTAGTGTATTTTAACGTTTTCTATTTATTTTTGTTTTTATTTTTTAGTACGTAGTATATCTCAAGAAAATCCCTCTGTTGATGCTGCTCCTGATGAAAAATCTGAAAAAACGTCGTCAAACCCATCAAACTCGGCATCCAATAATACTCCATACATTATATCTGATCAACCTTCTCAAGTACAATTATCTACTCCAATAACATCAAATCCAGTACCATCATCAAAACGACGAGATAAATCATCTAAAGCACAAGATGAAGAAGAAGAAAGAGGTATGTTATACTTTTATACTAAAATATTTTTTGAAATTTATTAGAATATTTACATTTATGCATTATTTTCCTTTAGAAATAATCAAAGTATTTGATGGTAATGCAGCATATCGTGAAAATACACCGAGAGCTATATCAGTACCAAAAATAGCGTCTTACAGACAAATATTGGTAAGATTATTTTAACAAAAAGCAAAAATTATTAATTGAGATATGTATTTTAATATCTTTTTTAATTATAGGAAGCCGCATTACGTACATTCCACATTAACGATGATTTAAATAAATATTGTATAACTGTTCCTATTGAATCAGATAGTATGTATCTATGTTTACAAAAAGTAGAAAAGATTGAATTGAATTTAGTAAAATAGAAATCTTTTAAAAATATAGCTTTGACAGAGAAAGTCACGAAATTACCTTTTTTTTCTGTATTATTATCATAATAAAACTGACAACTGTTGTTTTTTATTTATCTAGATGGAAAAGATCATTCAGTCGATGAAAATAATCCATTAAAATCTATCAGACAATTAAATTCTAAACGTCATGTATTTATACGTTATCGAGAAACAGATAACGATCTTCATTTTGTTCGAGTTTATCCCGGAATAGTAAAGTAAGAATATTTTTCAACTTCTTTCTGATTGCTATTTTTTAAAATAAAAGAAAACTCTCATTTTTTTTTTCTCTCCTTCTGTTATCTAGTTGTAAAACAAATGACTGTTTTAAAACGATAATAATCGATTCAGAAACAACCACAAGAGAAGTTGTGAGAAAAGCTTTAGATAAATTTGGATTACACGTAAGTAATGTTTTGTCAAGCTTTTACAAAGTCTTATTTACGTCATATTCTTGTATTTTAGGGTGCCATATCTGAAAGTTATTCATTAGTAGAAGTTGTATTAATCTCAAATATTAATTATACATACGCTGATCGAGTATTAGAAGAACATGATCATCCATTATCTGTACTAAGACAGCAAAGACAAGTAAGTTTTCAACATCTTGTAATTATTAATGTTAGAACATTTTTATACGATGTCTTTTAAATCTTATATTACATAGAATTAATCGAAGTTTAAGAGTTTAGCAAAGCAAATGAACAATAGAGCATCATTTGTAAACTTGATTAAAAAAAATGAAGTATTTGATTTTATCAATATAAATTTTTTGTATTGTTCATTTCTAGGAATCTGTTCGTAGTCATCGTGTCACTCGTTTTTACTTACAACATAAAGAAGATCCTCATGGTCCATCTGTATCATTATTTGTCGGAAATTTACCAACGGGTCTACGTACCGAACGTCAATATGATCGTATTTTATTCACAGATGTATTAAAATCAAACAAAGAATTAAAATGGGATAATATGGAAGTCATTTATTATGAACATGGAGCAATGGTTCTAGTTTATAATGATAGTGTAAAAGCAACCAAAGCCTATACAGAATTACGAAAAGGAATGTATGACAATAAACCGTTGATGGTGCTAATGTTGCCAAATATACAAGTATATTTTATAGTTAAATTATAATATTTATTCATTTTATTTAATTAAACTATAATTTTAGCCTCAAATCATGCCTCCAAATGTAACGCCATTATTAGTATTTGTTAATGTTAAATCAGGTGGTCAACAAGGTAGTGAATTGATAACAAATTTTAGACATTTATTAAATCCACATCAAGTATTTGATTTACAAAACGGCGGTCCATTGCCTGGGTAAGCTTATTCCTTCTCAATTATTCTACTATTAATTTTACTATTAATTATATAATTAATAATATTTTGTAGATTATACGTATTTCGAAATATTCCCCATTATCGAATATTGGCCTGCGGCGGAGATGGTAATAAAATAAAATAAAACATTACAAATAAATCATATATGTGTATTATAAGTATATTCTATGGTCATTTTTTAGGAACTGTCGGATGGGTGTTAAGTTGTTTAGATAATGTTGGACAAGATGCATTGTGTCAGTCACCTCCAGTTGGCATTGTTCCACTGGGAACAGGTAAACAATACATTGAAAAACATGGAAACCTTTTTAAACTGAATACACCTGTGGGGGCGGGAGCGAACGAAGTAGAAAAATAGATCAAAATCAAGACTTTTTGGGTATAAAACTTCAACTCCTTCTCCTTTGGAGATACTGGAGAAGTTTCACAAAAAACAGTTGATGCTTGTACAATGGCGTTTAATTACACTGCTAATAGTTTATAAGTTTATACATTAGTGATTTCAATTGTTTGTGTATTTAGGAAACGATTTGGCTCGTGTATTACGTTGGGGATCTGGCTATACCGGTGGAGAAGAACCAATATCATTGCTCAGGGATATAGTTGAAGCTGAAGAAATTAAACTTGATAGGTAGATTAAAAACAAAATTATCTTAATTACTTGTAATATAATCAGTTCACTGTAATTGTTTTCAGATGGACAGTTGTCTTTCATCAAGATCAAGAAAAACGAGATCCGGTAAGCAAAAATATGGCGAAGACAAATCGTCGATTAAAACTGCCGGCACGTGACTAACTAAATGATGATATAGTATATTGTAGTTAACATAATGCACGCACCCCATACCTCAATTTCATTTTATTTCATATAAAAATTAACTTATTTTTTTTAATATTTTATTAAACTATAGGAAGGGACAACGAATGAAGATAAAACAGAAATGTTTGTGATGAACAATTATTTTGGACTTGGTTTAGATGCCGATATATGTCTAGATTTTCATATGGCTAGAGAAGAAAATCCGAATAAATTTAATAGTCGGTAAGAACACTAACATAAAATTTTTTATATTCAAAATATTCTAAAACACTTTTACTAAATATTTTTTGTTTTTGTTTTAGTATTCAAGCAAAAGGTTATTATATTAAAACTGGATTAAGAAAAATAATGAAAAAAGGTGGTCTGAAAGATTTTACACGTGATATTATTCTGGAAGTGGACGGAAAACGAATTGATTTACCATCATTAGAAGGCATCATAATTTTAAATATTCTAAGGTCAGTTATTGAAATGTTTTACTTTGTATAACAATTTTTTAAGTGTATCCATAATTTTAGTTGGGCTAGTGGAGCAAATTTATGGGGACACGAAAAAGATGACAAATTTTCACGTCCTACGCATTATGATGGAATGTTAGAAGTTTGTGGTGTTACAGGAATTGTACATATGGGACAAATACAATCGGGAATTAGATCAGCTGTTAGATTAGCTCAAGGAGGACATGTAAGATGTTGTTGATTAAATATATAAAGTGCAGTTGTTTCAATCAAGTTTTTGTCAAAATTTCTTGTTTAGGTTCATATTCGTATGAATAACGATTATCCAGTACCTGTTCAAGTCGACGGAGAACCATGGCTTCAACCACCGTGTGACATAACAATAATTAGATCAGCACTAAAAGTATGTTATCATTGATTTTTTTTCAATTATATGCTTTTTACTTTTTCTGAATCAAAAAAACATGAGAAAAAGAGATTTTGTAATGTCGAATAAGTTCACTTTTCGAACATATTTTATTTTTATTTATAATTTTAAAACGGTTTTTCTTCTCTCATTTTAGGCTACAATGTTACGTAAACGTAAAAGTAAAATAAAACGTCGTAATACTGAACCAACTGTATATTTTCCTGATGCTGACGACGATTCAAAATGTTAGGAACGATTACTTGCTTATTAACATTCGGTCATTCACTATAATTTAGTTTATTTTATTTTATTTTTTTTTTCTTCATGTTTTTCTCTCAGCTGGTTCTGAGAAAGACGTAGCGGAAAAAATTCGTGTGCACAAGCGTATTTTCTCCTTATAATTGTTTTGTGTGTTTGTGTGTAACGATTTTGCCCGCATTTTCTCTCTCTTTCTCTTTCTCTCTCTCTCTTATATTCTAGTCATTTTAATAAATATTTTTTTGTGTTTTTTGTTCGGTGATGTTTTTATTTTGGTCTTGTTCTTATTCATTTTTACAACCGACAACAAAAATTTCTTTCTCTTGTTCTCTACGCTCTATACATATCAATTGATATACGCGTGCGCACACATACACACACACACACACACACACACACACACACACCAGAACTAAATTGGATTTTCGCATAATACCTAAAACAGTGACAATGGTATAGATGTCTGTTTGTTGACGTATGTACTCTTTCCCTCTCTACTTTTAACAACTATTATTTTCTTCATTTCCAAAAAATCCCTGATCGGTGCCCATTCTTTTCTAGTCGCTTGCTTCTTTTTTTTTTTTTTTTCGTTTTATTTGTGTCTAATTAATATTGTGTGTTCTGTCATTTATAAAAAATAAGATACAGTAGAGGATGGATAGAAACGCGAAAAGGATTAGAAGAATTTATTTTTAATTGTGTGATAGAAAGTTTTTCGTTAGTTTGAGTTGCAAAAAATGCGTTCAATCATTAAAAAAATAAATAATTATTAGTAGATATATTGGCTCATCTAATCAGACGTTGCTATAACCAATAAAATCTATATAAGAAAAAATGAACAATTAGTTATTATCAATTTGTCTTGATTTACAGGCAAGAGACATGTATCAAGCTTAATTTAGTAGAGATTTTCGTCTGCTTTTGTTTGTTCACCTCCTAATATATCTTGCTTAATCAAACACTATATCTGCTTTCATTCTATGGATAAATCTGTACAGCTACAGGTATGACGTAAAAGCTCACTTTGAATTTGGAAAGATCAATATTTATTATCTACAATATTTTTTTTGAAAAAGAGTATTAAACATATTTTATATCTCAGTTTCATTAGCAATTCTACTAACAATTTCTTTTCAATAAATATTTCAATCTTAATATTACATAGCGCGAAATAAATTCTGATGATGTCTTGATTTCACTCTTAAAAAAGTGATTTTGACAAATGTTTTTTTTTTGTTTTTTAGGCAAATATTTTCTTGATAGTAATTTACTTTATTTATTTCGGGTTTCTATTTCTTCAGGATACGACTGAATAGTTCTTTTTATGTGTGTGTATGTGTATGTGTGTGTGTGTGTGTGTGTATGTGTGTTTAATTTTAGTTCTTTCTTTTGTCTAATTTAACTAACACAGGTTGTTCTGATCATGCGCATGCATTACAAAAGAACAAAAAAGACAATAAACATCGAACAGTGATGTTATTATCAGTATTCGTTTTTCTTTTTGCTCTTTTCCGATGCCTACGTATACTAAAAATAGATATAAATTTTTTTCTTTTTCTTCACACACAGATATATGTATTTGAAGGAAAACACAGACACACAATGCTATATTCTTTCTATTTCTCTCTCACAGACCTACAAACGGTTTTTCTTCTTTTTTTTTTTTTTTGTTCGTTTTATGTAAAAATGAAAACATTTTTTCTCTCAGCGTCAATTTTTTTTTCTCTTTTGATTGAAATAAAAATAAATATTATAATACAGAAACAAAAAATAAATATTCTTGTTTTTTTTATCTCATTTCAATGAATGAATTTGATGATATGGATAGACAATAACTTATCAATTTGAATCTTTTATCCGATCTTCACTAATTATTTCAGCTATTGACTAGCAAGGTTAATTGTTTAAAGAAGTCAAACTTTTGCACTTCTTTTTCTTGTCATTTGATAATCATGCGAAATATTCTAAAATCAAATTGTAAAAAGTCATATCGATAGTTGTTTCATATTTATCTGCTAATGAGTAAAAAACCTGCCTCAAATCAGTTACTTTTAAAATTTTGATTTAACTTTTATAAAGATGGAAAGAAAGAGAATTAATTCAAAATTTGTTATATGTATCAGGTCCATTTATCCAATTCAATGAGTACTACGGAATAGAAAAGTGATTCAGAACTATACTCTTTAGTAGAACAGTTCTGATATAGAATCTTTTCCATGTTCATATAACATCTGCTCAACTTATGATGAGACTTCCATGGTGATCGAACATCTTTTACTAATTTTCAGACGGTGCCGGTCTTGACAAATAACATTCTTCTAGCCAAAGATTCCAAATCGTCTGATTTTTTCACCTTTTTCTTTCTCAGCGTGATTTGCACAAAAAATAAAGACAAATGACAAATATAAACAAATAGACAAAAAAAATCTGTTGAATGAACTTTTCTGTTTCTTTTGTGTCATATGTTTATCTCAAATGGATTTTATTTATATGATCATATACTCATTTTTTTTTCTGATTGTTTGAAAAACAAATAAAATTAATCATTTAGAAAACAGGAAAGACCACGTCCTATCTCTTGTCTGATTTTGAACTCTTTTTTATTCTCATTTTCATCTTGGTTTCGGGCTCCTCAAGTCTTCCCAAGTTCTGAACGAAACAAACTTTTCCACTATTTCTAAAAAAATTCTTTTTAAATCTAGAGATAGACAACGATGAATGATTTTGAATCAAATAAAACAGTTTCTGCAAGAAGCTAAATGAACTGGGTTTTTTAGTTTTGTCTTTGATTGCATTCTGTTGGCTTTTAAAGTTAAGAAGCTAAAAAAATCTCTTGCAACGGTATTTTTATTAAAGATTGAAGTCTTGTTCTATGTATCAGCTCATGCAGCTTTGTTTTTTCTTTTCTGCAAAAACTATGAGTTTTTAGAGATCGAATCCGTTGGACAACTAATGAAACGACATTGTTTGTGTCACTTAATGCAACTTCTGAAAAAATATGCAGAAGTCTGCCTATATTTAGACGCTAGACTATCTCAAAGCAGTCTAATAATTAAAAAATTACGACAATCAATCGTGAGACTGTAGATATGTTTTCTTTTGTCTTTTAGATTCTGTTCAACAGAAGCATCTGGCTCTCTATTTAAGTGTTACGTATATTAATTCGTTTTTCTCTGTTGATCATTATGCCTGACACAGCCGTTACATCGTCACCTACAACAGCTGCACATTCGTCACCCGTCTATGGAGGATTAGAAGGTAAAGACGCGCAAGTTTCCTATTCTCTTTTGTATATAGATGACATCTATTCACACTTGAGAGTCTGGAAGCATGATCTATAACCCGAACAGGATAAATGCCTCGATCAAATCATATATTTCAAGCGGTATCAATGACACGGAAAGTGGAACAGTTTATGGATAAACTGACATCGGGATTCGAATGAGCATGTCAGAAAAGCTAGTTTTTAAGCTTTCCGGCATATATGGGACTAAATTTTTCTCTCAGATTTGTTTATACAGAAATCACTTTTGAGAGTGTTCTTGAAAGATGTAAGATAAAAATGACGTCGTTTTTCTTGGTTTATTTTTAAACAGAGCGAACAGTATATTCATCGTTTAAATAAAACTTTGTAGTTGAGAGTGAAAAAAAACGTCATTTTCATCTTACGTTTTTTTAAGAATCTGACGTATTAACTACAGCTATTTCCTACTTCATCTTTTTATCTCAATTATAATTTTTTGTGGAATTTTCGGCCAATAACTACCATTATCAACACAAAAATCTAGAGAAATTATACTTTTTTTTAAGAACATCCTCGAGTTATTAAATATACTTCGTTCTGGATATATAGCCTAATCAGGATATCTGTCTTGTTTGGTATAAAGATCTTCCTCTCTAACTGTTTGAAATTGTTCTATTTCATTCAATGAATATTGGATTATTTTCTAGGTCCCGAATCGGTGTATTTAAAGTTGATATCTAGTGACAATCATGAATTTGTTGTTCGACGCGATTTTGCTATAAATGCATCACCAACAATTAAAAATATGTTATCCGGTCCTGGACAATATTCAGAATCACAAATGAATGAAATATATCTAAAAGATATACCATCACATGTACTTATTCATGTTTGTCGCTATTTTGCTTATAAATCAAAATATACAAATTCATCTATTGATATACCAGAATTTCCTATCGAAATACCAGTTGTTTTAGAATTATTAGTAGCATCAGACTTTCTAGATTGTTAGAAGACTAAGAATTATGAACATTTAAATCAGCACTGATTCATTTTCTTTCGATATTTGTATATTCTGTCGAGAAATATTTCCAAATTTTTTCTTGTTTTTTGTGTTTTGTTTATTGTTACTGTAAGAGGCGAGCTCGAAGTACGCTATGAATAACCACAAGATTCTATCTCAGGCGTAAAACATAAGTTGTTCTGTCAATTAAACTACTAGTCATTGGCGAATAAGAGACAACTTCTAGGAAAGAGCAAGTGTTATTCATCTGCTCATACTATAGATTTTGTTCGTGAGTTTCTAAAAATTATTTCTGTTGTATATGTACAGTAGGGGTTGAAGCTAGAATTTGATATTTATAGGATTTAATCTCATTTTCTTGTAGATATAGTTTTTTTTTCTTAACTTTAGAATTAAAATGAAAAATATCATAAAATAATAAACGATGATTTCAAATAAAAATGAATATAACAATGATAAAAGTCCACGTTAATATACAGAAATATATTCGAAATAGTATGGGATGGAATCGTACTATATTCCATACTCATGGTATCTCAAATCTTTCCTCCTCTCTGCAGGACATTTTTTAAATGAACATCAATGGCAGGTAAAAGTCTTTCAATATGAGTTAAGAAACATAGTATTTTAGCGGCTAAATTTGCGATAAACAAACATCCGATTTTCAGCTAGTGATGAACAAAGGCACAATAAATCCTCGGTAGAGGTATGTGGTGGGAATTACCTCGGATGAGGATAACTAACATCATTCACTCGGAAGAAACATGCCAAGATTGTCCCTCGATAGCTCACGAGGGAAGTCCACCAGCTTGAAAATCGTTTGCGGGCCAAAATTCAGTGGGTCATAGTTTATCGATGGTCCTGAATCCGAATATCACCATGAGATCGGCTGCTGGGCCTTGCATGATCTGGTTTTCCAGAAATCTCAAAAAATCCCCAAAATTTTTTCTAAATAAGTCATGATTGTAGCCTGCGAAATTGGGATCAAAATGAGACATCTCCCAGCTCTACACGACCTTTTTTTTGCAAAGTTATAGAATTTACAGGATGAACCCTAAATTCCTTTTTCTTTCTGTAGCTTTGAGCTGGCAATGAACATTTAGGGCTTATCTTATAAATTCTATAACTTTGCAAAGAAAGGTCGTGTAGAGCTGGGAGATGTCTTATTTTGATCCTAATTTCGCGGGCTTCCTTATTTTTGACCTATAGAAAGCGATTTGACTCGTGATTTATTTGTTCCATATCTTTTTTCATTCTGAACGCTGATCAATACATGAGAAAGTGATTACAGTTCATTTGATTCTTAGAATCGATATTCGACATAGTCCTCATGTTTATCAATATCCAACATCCAAAGTTATGAATTGTTATCAGATGAACCGTCAGATGTAACGATCTCACTAAAAACTGCTCATTGGTACTCAATTGCTTGCAGCTACTTCTTTAAGGCTCAATTGATGATGAGAGTTAGGTAGAATACATAGGCTATCTGATCTTCGCAAAAGAGGAACCGGAGAAAATACAATTGTGTAAAATTACAGAACAAATACTGCAAAACTATCTCTATGATAGACTCTATTTGTCACTGTTGCGGTAATAGATGAAAGTCATCGCCATCACGTCACTAAAAAATTTGCAGCATATATTTCTTGTAGCCTACTGGCGCATAAACAAATAGATCAACTAATCTATTAAACTGATACAAATATGAGAAAGACCAATCATGATCATCAAATTTCTCTGCGACTAATTCAGTTCATTGATATCTTTCTGGAGATTTATTCTATAGCATTTAACGCGTAGGATGTAAAGTCCAGATTTTTCGAAAAGTCAAAAATTTTCTGCACAAAAAATGTATAACAAATTTTAAGCAGAAAAAACTGCATCTAACATTAGTATTGCAATTGTATTACGAAGTTACGTTTGAGCTGTTTAAATTGATTTACTTAAATTTCTCGTTTATGCTCTTTATTTTTTCGATTACTTGATGTTTCTCTAAAATCTTTTTTAGACAAACATTAAGTAAAGATGAGCTGTTTAGACAAACACCAAAAGTTTTCAATCGATTTTGTTGAATGATGCGAGTCGATGTTTCAGTGTGAAGAATGTCTCTTTGATTTCCCTTTTCTTCCAGTTTGTATCATGTCTTATAATAGTTGGTTGATCGAATCTGATCACGTGATTTCTATTCTTGAGCATATGATCAGCAGCGGCTGGTTTTCCTTCTCCTTTTAGTCTATCTCGATGTTGTCTCATCCGGTTCATCACTGTCAATTTAGTTATCCAACATACACTTGTGTACAACGATTACGGTTAATTTTGTACACTACACCAGTATTCGTGTCATCAATACCTTTGTAACTCTTAATGAACATTTTCTGCATGCTTAAACTTTTCTTAAATCCAAAAATTACATCTGTTATTGGAAATGTTTTTTTTTCTTTTTCTTTCAAGTATCTTTTTTAATTTTTTCTTAAACAGTTTTCCTTTTATTCACGAAATAATGGTAAAAATAAAAATACAATTACCAGAGAAAAACACTTATTCGGCAATTCGGGATATCCCATTGCATGCCGGATTCTGGATGAACATGCTGAAAAAAATGAGTATATAGAGAAGAGAGATTATACTAGTGTTGGTGAAGAGAGAGAGAGAATTGGGAATCGAATTTTGAGATCCGCTGTATCCATGTGACGTCCTGCTCATAAAGGTTTAGTACATCATGACTGATTAAATCTTCCAGTAGTATCAATAAATTGGAGGATGGTTGTATACATTCCTATCAGGTCCTGCTTAGCCAGTGCTCGGATAGATTCATGTTTCAGAAGTATGTGCTCCAACGTCATGTGATTATCATTAAGAACAATACGCAGCTTTAATTTATCTGCCATAATATGTCAGTGATATGAGAAAGATCATTTTTGTTTTTGTTGGAACATTCTGCTATTGTTCAATCGTATTTTTAATCTTTCTATTCATTATATTCCTTGGGTACCCATTTCTTATCAAACATTGCTCGATATGTTCACATTGTTCCTTCACTGTAATTTGAAATTATTTTCTATTTTATTGAAAATATTTTTATTTTATTGAAACTTTTATAAAATCTTTAGCGATTTTCTGACTGTTTAGAAATGTTGATTTTCTACTTTATCGAAAATCCGCTCGATTTTCTATGAATTAACTTTTCTCATTTGCCAGAAAATCAATAAGGAATTTCCGAAAAGTTGGAAAATCGAAAGCGATTTTTTATAAATAAATTCCGACATTTTTGAAATTCGACAGCGATTCTCTAAATAGTTGAAAAATCGAATTCGATTTTCTAAGAAGTATAATCGGTCATTTTTTTCGCATTTATCAAAACCTTTATTGCAATAAGTTATCCGGTAACAGATCTCTGCTTCTTGTATATTTAACATCGAAAATGTTAGTAGATTCGGAAAGTTCTCTCAGTTTTTGCAAATCAGCATATTCTTGGGAAGCATTGTTGCTGTATGACACTTGGAGATCACAAAGAGGTACTGAAAAGGTTCTTGGGTTGCCTGGTTAAGACAAAGTCGAGTTCCACCGCAGCTTTCTGAAGATCGCAAAGCGATTCACTCTTGTTACTAATCCTCATTTTTATGTCTGAATTTAACATCTTCCAAAAATATAGTTGATTCTATTAACTCAAAGACATCATCCTAACAATTCACATTTGTTTTATTATTTTTTAAATAAA